TAGGTGGTAGGTGGTAGGTGGTGACCACGACCGCGACACACTAGTTCCCATTATCGTATTTCAACCGTTCATTTGTCCCCTGAATCAGTCACCTGTTCGTGTATCGTCTGATGTATGACCCCCCTTTATTGCCTGCCGTTTAGCGACCCCGCAGCGCTCATGGCATGTTCATTACTAGATAAATTTACCAGCAAAACAAACATTCTGCACGTAGTTTTTTCTTTAGTTTGCTATATTCTCCTGAACTAATTATGTATAAAATTAAAAATTACCCGGTATACTGTGTTGCGTGTTGTGTACTTTATGACTAAAAGAGAAAACTGTATGATTTGAAAATAGATTCTGTATTTTTCTTTTGCATACTATTTGCCTGGATTTATAAATGTAGACATCTATACGTCAATATTTTTCAGATCTTTATTGATGTTTTATTTCTATATTTGACAGTAAGTGCTGCCATCAGTGTCACACGTTAGCATCGTTAGACAGTTAGTCAACATTAACATTTTTTCAGTTATAAATCTTGGATATTAAAACACATATGTTTGTATTATATGTAGTAATCATGTTATATAAAATATTATTAACGTAGATTATTGAATGAGGAACAGGAAACTTTTCGTAAGTAATTAAAACTACAATCTTGACACTACCACATACTTGGGATGAGTAAGAATAAATAAATTAAGTCACTTGGATATCATTCTCTTGAACGTATTTCACGCACCTGCGTCATACATTCAAATGCAAATCCTTTCAGCTCCCGTGTTTCATTCCCTTTCAGAATTACACGCGTCAGTATTAAAGGATATTGGATTCACTTCATTGGCTAAAGGAATTTAATTTTAAGCAAAAATTTCCAAATTGCAAATTACGCTAAATATTTATCCGGTATTCGAAACATTTTGCATTCAATATCGCTTCTTTCACTAATATATACACTTGGAACAACGATCTGCAGTTGTTTACTTTCATTCTGAACGGTAGTATCTTAAGCTCGATTTAATTATATTAAAGCGGCCATCAGAGCTATCAATGGAATACAAATTCCAGTAAAAATGGTCCAGTGAAGGCGTGCTAATAGTCCGAGAGCTAGCAAACTGCGCAAAAAGCACTTAAACTTTTCAAGGTGGATGAAGTTTTGTTACAACTTACCGATAGGAAGGAGGACTTTGAAAAGTATCGACTGTGGCTTTACTTGATGAATTAAATCAAAAATTATTAAAAAAAACAGATCCTACCCTAATAATATCTACGAAAATAGAAAGTAATCTTGTTTTGTGTCTTATTTTAAAGGTATTTTTTATAAAAACAACTATAAACACTACTGATAGAGGTCCTATAAAATATAACAAATATATTTTTAATCTTAATTTGATTAAAGAGTAGACTTACAAAACATTTCATATATTTAAAAAAAAATACGTGTTTTTTTTTATAAATTGGCTGATTTTTTAAATTATTGCTTATGAAATATATCGATATCGACGTGGTACGTCCCTAGTTCCTGAAGGAAGCAAACGAAAGTGAATTCCTTTCACCTGATAGAACGGTTATTAGCCAATTCGACAGTCATTCCTATCCTAATAGAGGTATAATAAAAGGGGCTCCTCTATTTTTCGTTTATACTACGGAAAGGTAAAAATCTATTTTATTCGTTGTCTTATAGTTATGTTTATTTGATTATTCTTAAATAGTAATTTTATTCTGATAGAAAAAATATACTACTTTTCATAACATTATTTAATATAGCAGTAGACGGTTCTATTGAAATTATTTTAATCTTAATAATATAACTCTTTAAAAACTATTTTCGATTGCTTCAAAAACATCTCAATATTATTATTTTGCATATTATAATTAAAGAAAAACATCACATATAAAGAATACTTATGTATTTTATTTCAAAACACGTAAATCACCTAGCTGTTCAAGAGAAGGCTTCAGTGAAAAAAAAAGGTTTGAAAAACCGAATATGTTTCCCTTTAGTGCCACGTGTGGGTGATAGTGCGTTAATATTACAGGTGCACTTGATCTATGGCGCGGACGTGAGCCATGGCCCATGTTAAGAGATCTAGCGGGACACCGTAAATAAATTAATTCCATACATTACCTACTGAACTATCACTACTGAACCATAATTTGCCTACTTTGATGTGCATGTTGTATGTTATTTTTTATATTAATACTTCAATGTATGGCAAAATGCTTTCCAATTCTTAGTGCAGTATTGTGTTAATATTGAACCGATAACTTCATTGACATTGACAATATTTACAGTCGGAATTGAAATAATTATAGAAATAGCACAGAATATATTAATTTGCATATATAGTATAAATTATTTTACCAGAGAGGCCAAAAAATAAGTATAAATTAAAATATAAACAAATGTTAAAAAACTATCCTAAATATGATTAATTATACATTTGAATTATTTGTGAGCAAATAATTATCCCTCCATAAATAATGTTTTACAACCATCTCTCTTGATGTCTTACAGAAAATAATATTGATTTATATAGGTATAGTACTTCGAGCGTAAAAATATACAAGATTAAAACGCTTGTGTCTTACACCACACCACATGTAGTAGACGTGTTAGGAAAGAACACGCGAAATATTTGCTAAAACAACTCGTCTCGAACCTATCGCCTCCTAACGGCTGTTCTTATGATTTATGAATTTCAATAACTTTATTTTGATACTACATTTTTTCTGGACGAACCTTACTAATAAATGGAACTTATATTTTTCATGATCAAGACGTGTTGAAATATATATTTATATAAAATATGAATATTGTTCATTATAAGTTATTCATCCCTCAAGGTGATTCACATTTTTTTCTCGTCGTCTTTTCAAAAGTCCTTACGACACTTGGTAAACTTTTTTGTTAGACGGCTCGAAGTTTCAATTTTCCTGTCATTAAACGATTCTTAACGGTTCGGCGGAAAAAAAGTGAGAAAAAAACTGAGAACAATCAAAAATGCGTTCGAGATACAGAGGGGAGGCGTGTGATGGTGTTTTTAATGTCGCCAGTTTAGAACAGGTGTTACTTTATACGTTATAGATGACGTATCGCTGATTTACGAAAGATATTTCATGTTTGGACTGTAATTATAATGATTACAAATAAACAAGTACCAATTATAATTGATGAATGCAATGTAAAATGAATTTTTATTGAAATAAACCTAATATTTTATGTGTATAATTACTACGTGTATTGTATTAATTATAAAACTGCATGCCCCCGACGTTTCGGTTACTTTCCAACAACCGTGCTCACGGGCTACCTGATATGAGAAATATTAGTTTCATTCAAATGAATACTCGCCAATGTCTTAGATCTTATTATAAAATGTTATTTACTTTTACTAAAAGAAGCTATGATTTCTGAACATATTATGTTATAAACTTGTGCTCATAATAAATGAAATAAAATAAAAAATAATTTATTTCCAATATAAGTAATAATTAAAGAAAGTTTTATCCCATTCTCTTACCATCTTACTGATAGCCGTAGGAACATAACGTTATTTTAGTCGAGAATATTGGAGTTTTATACAAAAAACCGTTTGATTAAATTAAAAACTACGGAACTTACAAAATATATTTTTCCTTACAAGTTTTTATAACAAAACGAAAATATGTAGATTTAAAAATTTTGATATAAATTATTTATAGGTGACAGATCATATCACATATAAAATTGAAATCAATATATAATCCTTGTTTAAAAATACAGATAAATAAATCACTTACCTACAATAAACATGAAAAAAATGATCCCATTACCAAAATTGCATCAGTAATACAAGGTGTACAATGCATTAACACCTCAAAGCGTCTTTGAAGTCACAGATGTAATCTCACTCTTACATGATGCTGACGAAACACTCTCGACTGGATGTATGCTTTACCATCTATAAAACTTACCTTATTATTTGACTATATTATGTAAGTGTTTTTTATAGAAGACGGATATATTTCAACGCTTATCATAGATGTGTTATGCACCATTACCTAAATTAACAAATGGCATTTAAAGCATGAAGTGCGTGACCGATATTATAGCGTGAATACAAAAACCTGTTATGATTATTTCAATAAAACAAAAACATTCATCAAGGTCTTTTAGTTTAGACTAATGCTGAGTTAATATTATAATATTTAAATATGTATGACTTGTAAGGACATTTTATATTGATGTTGTCGAATAAAGTTTGTTAATGATAAGTGGAGCATATATCAGGCGTGCACAATATACAGGTCTATTTACCACAATGGAACTTCTTTTTCTGTCCTTTGTGGTTCCTCTTCTTTGATTAACTTTGATCTAGGTGAGTGCGAGTAATGGATTGTTAGAGAGATATCAAAGCCTTTACCTGATTCCTTTTTGTTTTATCTGTTTGATAATCTTGATTCAAAAAAATATTCTCAATGCAACTCATTTATAGAGTTCAGTGACTCGAGGTATTGAAAACAATATTCGTTAATCCCGGAATCAAATAATATTGGCCAGAAAATAATCTTTATAAAAACTAATTAAAGCATGAGTACCGTACTCCTAAAACACTTTGTACAACAAGTTTGTACGTCATATTTTGAATGAATTATGGAAATCAATGGGTAGTCGAACAATTTAGACATTTTTGGCGATTTTGTGGTCAAAAATTAATTGTAGTTTTTATTTTGCCACCATCTGCGTTTCATTATTTGATGTGATTTAAAGTAGATAAGAATTTTTGAATTACATTGAGGAGAGAGGAAGGCTTCTGTAAACATCAATAGCCTTAGCTTAACTTGTATGATCAACGGAATTACAAAACGTTTTGTTTCATCATATTTTTCCTTCAACTTTAACAATAGGTAAGGGGTTATTCAAAATTAATAAAAAGTATAAATTAAGGAACAAAAAATATTAATATATATATATTTATTTTAACATAAAGATAGATAACAAAATCTACATATACTAATTAGTTTTGGTTTATTTAGGCGGGGAGATGGGCAGCTGATGGTTGGAAGCCCTTGTCGTTGGCGATATAGTCTACTCTGTAAAGCTTGCCATCATCACCAACGTATCTGTAGAAACCACGTACTTCAAGACTCTCGTTCTCTGATCCGGGGTTCTTCACTACAGCCACCTCAGAGGCAGCCTTACCGTCACTGGTCTCGTAGCTAAAAACACAAAGAATGAGAATTTGTTCCTTAGGTTTGACGCTTTAAAGAATTCTTCTAAATCAATACTCACGCGTAGTCGTAACCGTTGACACCGATGTTGTTCAGGTCGAACCTGACGACCTTCGCACCTCTTTGCCCTGAGAAGTTGTAAACTGGGACAGCGACGGCTGCCGCCACGAACAGAGCGAATACAATGAACTGGAAATTAAATAAATAGCATAAATAAGCTGCTTAAAAGAGTTTTTATGAGAATATCACCAATAATGTGATCACATAAAAGACAAAATTATAATTTAAGAAAAAAATATTACTGTACACTTACTACTATTGACAGATTCAAAATAAATTAAATGGATTTTATTCTATGTAATACTTACGGATTTCATTTTGATTTTGTTTGGTTTTTTAGGCTTTGTTAGAGGACAACTTTTCGGTGACTGTGATATCGATAAAAAATCATCCACATTTATATACTGCCTACCCATCCTTGTTTGCATATAATTATTTAAATTCGATGGTTTCTCATTAAACTCTAATTTTGATTTATGCCAGTTTAGTGTAAATGATCCAAATCTGACCTTAATTAACATAAATCGCTTATGGAGGCAATTTAATTGTGTTACGTTTCTCACACTAAATAGCCTTATAAGATGCCAATATTATTGTTTTACCAGAAAAAAATTTCATGATATGTGGACATCGACTCTGAAAATGCTATGACCAATCAATCCTAGTTATTAAGTATTAATTCCCTTATTATTTTATTAATACTCACATTAAAATGTGATCGTATTTATGGTAATCTTATTTGTTTAAAGCCTCATCTACATACATATACATAAGTTGTTTCGTGTTATTGATGGGGCCTTGTGAGAAAGACTAAATGAGGCATTAATGTTATTGCAAATCACTCTATATCCTACAAATGGATTCATGTTCTAAATAAAAACGTGTTGTCAATAAACGTAAATAAATAGTGAATGTTTTAAGATTTTAAAAAAAACATATAAATAATAATAACAACTACTCATATTTAATTCACAAAAATATTTTATCAATAAATTTTATTATGAAGCTGCAAGTCCTAAAATAGAAGTATTTTAACTAGGCCGTCCCCTTTTTAGAGTCTTCTCTAAAAGGGACATGTTCAAGGTTATCACGTAAGAGGTATTTGATTAAACAAGAGATCTATCGAAATATTTGAACAATTTGGTTCTCATAAATAATTAATTTATTATATCGATCTTCATTATTTTTATTTCTATAATTAGATTTAAACTTGAAAGCTTTTTTTCCGAAATCATTTCTATTTCTAGTTTTTATAGTAGCCTGTTTTTCTTACTTCTATTTTTCCCTTTTGAAATAAAGAATTGCGATGATAATGTACTTTAATAAGAAATAACAAAATAAATAAAAAGTAACAAACATAATTTCATAAATTACGTATAGAAATTTAGAACATAATTAACAATTGAAATCTTGGAGAATTCATCACTTTCAGGCTCCAAAACAATAATTTTATGGCATTCAGTGGAAAAATAATGGATAAGAGTATTCAGAAGTAACAAAAGAATGAGATCTCTGTAACTTTGTCACTGAATATAACTGAAGGAACCTGGATTTGGAACAAATATAAAATATGCAGATAAAGAATTTTGACGAACGAAATACTCATAGAAGATGATTATTTCGAGGTTCAATCTGATAGTCTACAAAAATCACAAACAGACGTATCTATACAATTTGGACAAGAAAATATTTTTTTAACGTTTTAGTCTTAAGTACTGTTTTCCCAACACGTTTTATAAACTAAATATATCTTAAAACCAAAGAAAGATCCACCTATAGAGAGAAATTTACGAAATAGATGCTTCCAACAGAAAAGTATGTTTATAAATACTTTTTTGTGTCCGAACTCTCTATTAATATTGTGAAAAGTATGCTGTAATTCTTGACTTATAACATTTTTATTCCTGATACCACAATTAAGAATAGCAAACAAAGCTTTAACAAACATTAGCATATAATATTTCCAGATGTTCGTACTACTGAATCTTCATTGCAATTACTCCTCTGCGTATCTATTTCAATAGGACCTAGGTCCGTTCTAAAACAATTTTTAACACTAATACCTCCATAATAAAGTCGTTTGTTCTATTTCATTTGCTATTATAATAATTATTTAAAACGCCTACATTTTTCACTACACTTTTATTAATCCATTCCTTCCTAAATAAAATTTTACGACTTTCATTGCAACACAAACTTTTATCACATTTATATTTAAATAACTGATTTCACTTATATTATTATTTTTATACTATATATAAATTAATTCTCTACATTTCTCATATTAAAATTACCATAAGTCTATGGTGTTTGATATTTTAAACTCCTGCTGCACTAAGACACGACTGATTAGAACGAATAAACACATTAAATATTCTTTATCAGCTCATGCTGCCGTATCCATGAACTTAATATATTATATGATTAAAAGTACCTGGACTTGTATAAAAAATAATAAATTTTTACAAAACCAAACTACTTCGGATTATAATTGATTTAATTTGGAAGTAATTTATTGAGTTAAAAAGATCTCATAAGACTTCTCAAAAAATATCGAAAAGATGTTTTGAGGTTTTATATATTATCTTGGCAATATTTTGTTTCTTCTATTCCAGAGAATATCTAGCGCTGGTTTTTCTTCACAAAATCAATAATAATACCATATTGCAAGAAAAAGGATATAAGAGTGAAAAATTTATCAAGATTCAATAAACATATGTATTTTTTTTTTTTTTTATGTCAAAGGTGGCAAACGAGCAGACGGCCCACTTGATGGAAGGTGGTTACCGTCGCCCATTGACATCCGCCACAAAGATGGTGCGGATGCGTTGCCAACCTTGTTTTATAGGGATAGGGAGGGGTGGGAATAAGGATATTGTAGGAAAGGGTGGGAATAGGGAAAGGGCAACCGGCTCTCTCACTCATCGGACGAAACGCAGCCATTAAAGGCTACTTCACGCCGATCTTCTGTGAGAGGGTGGTACTTCCCCGGTCGAGCCAGCCCGTGTTCGAGCTGTAGTAACTAACCACAGCTAGGCTCTACCACCTAAAAAAGACAAAAAAGACAAAAAAGACAAAAAGTATATTCAACAAAAAGACAATCAACAAAACCTACATAGCCTACATAGTTTTGGTTTGTTTAGGCGGGGAGATGGGGAGCCGATGGTTGGAAACCCTTGTCGTTGGCGACGTAGTCTACTCTGTAAACCTTGCCATCATTATCAACGTAGCTGAAGAAACCACGTACTTCAAGACCCTCGTTCTCTAATCCAACGTTCTTCAGCTCAGCAACCTCGGAGGCAAACTTACCGTCACTAGTCTCGTAACTAAAAAGGGAAACAATGAGAATTAATTTCTTCGACTTCGATTTGACGCTTTAAAGAATTCTTCTAAGTCAACACTCACGCGAAGTCATAACCGTTAACACCGATGTTGTTCAGGTCGAACCTGATAACCTTGGCAGCTTTATCTCCTGAGATTTCGTACACAGGGACTGTGGCAGCTGCGGCCACGGCCACAACCAAAGCAAATACAATGAACTGGAAATAAAATTAAACAATATTCATAAAGAGCTGAGGTCAAATTGCAAATTATATTCACAAATTTCTTATTCTAAAATGAGCTGTTTATATCATTAATCACTATAAATCTTCTTGCAATACATTTTAAACTTAATTGGTAAGAAATTGGTAATTATACTTTGCGTAAGTATTGCAATGAAACATCGATTATGATCTCATCATAATGTCTTCACTTAAACATTAAGAGTTCACTTTAGAAAAAGTTATTAACATTTTAAATAACATCAGTTAATTTTAAATCAAATAGGACATTTGTGAAAAGATATTAACTCACATATAATTTTAATTACAATTGCGTGATTGTTATTAAATTGTAACAAAAAAAAAACTATTATTTAAATTAATTTCTTTGACTGCATCACTTACAGATTTCATTTTGTTTTATTCTCGTAATGTTTTGTTGAAGACAAAGATGCACCGTTGACTGTGATGTCATATAAATCTCTCAGATTTATATACTGCCTAGTGAACCTTATTTGCATCTATTTAAATTAGTTTTTGTGCACTAATTTAGTTGCATTCCATCATAACGCCAGTGATCTTAAATTTGACCTTTATTAGCATTTAGTATTTTCCGCATTAGGCATGGCGATTTAATAATAACAAGTTCTATAGGGTGCGTTTGACTGTCAGTTTAAGATGTTGAGGAAACTACGAAACATACTATAAACGTACTAATAAACATATGAATAAAATTTACCATTAAACAGGTAGGCGTCCCAAAATTATAGTATTATAATTTGAAAGTCTAATGAGTTATAGAAATGTGAAATTGTATTCGCAGGCAAAAGATTTCATTATAAACTGTAGTTCTGTTTCCAATTCATGTGTTTTAATATTTTGTTTTCATTTAATCGTAATATAGATCAATGTATATCTTATATCAGTAATTATTTCCTCGTTAATCCCCATAGATGATGGTGACAAATACCATGCTTAAAGAACTTATTTTACTGAAAGATCTTTGAGAGTTGTCGGAATATGAGAGGCAGCATGTTTGAAAAAGCGCATAATTTTAAAGAAAAGAAACATAATAAATAATGTAAATCTGTTTTTTTTTTATTACAAAACTAAAGATTTTATTTCATTATTTATGTGTTATCTCATATCCTCCTCATTAGATTTAAAATACCTTTCAGTCTTAGATATTTCAGTTTGACAGAAGGGCGGGTACATAAGAATTAAGACTCTATGGCTAAAAAGAAATGTTTGAAAACTTCCATTTCATGTTCTTTGTAATCGTTAAATTTTTGCAAAAATTATATATGAAGCTCAAAATTAAAGCAACCAGAAAACAACTTTACAATATTAATCAAATATAACTTTCAATTTTCTACACTTGAAATCTTACCAATAATAGGTTCATGTACGATATTGTACTTAAAATTTCAAAATATTATTGGGACTTATGACAAAAGTATTTAAATTATAATTCTTTTTATAAATAATTATTTCTATGACATAAATAATTATAATTATGTGTGTATGTGAACGTACTCATATAACGTTAACCACTGGGGAATAAATAAAAATTGCTTCTTGACTTTTTTATTCAATAAGCCTTTAAACGGTTGGTCAAACTTCTAAAATTATTGAATTCTTTTTTTGTGTTCCTCTTCTTCGTTGAAATTATATCTTCTTCCAAATCTTCCAAACCCTTTATTTCCATTACGTACATTCACCCACAAGAACCAAAAGTATTTTTATGATGTCCTCGTATTATTCTTATACATCGACCATCAGTTATCAACAGTCAACATTAATAAAATTTATAGGTTTAAACTTTTCCTGTACTTTGCTTGACTTTTGTAAGTCCAGTCTTTGAACTTATAGTTTTCTCCTAACATATCCTAAACTAATCACAGTCTTCCATTTAAACCTTAAGTTGAATCTAATTTTCATCTGTGTTTTTTTGCGTTGATTTATATCCATAGTCATGATTACATGTTCTTGGCATATTTGACGACTGTCACGTTGTTGGAAAGAACTGAGTTGTGACGGCTTTAAAATAATAATGTGGGAATTGATCCTTTACAAATATTATTACTTATATGGTATACACCAGGACTGGAAATTATATGTAATGATGAAATGTTTGTAAGGACCAATTATGAAACGAAAAGTAAAGGATATAGGCTTACAACTCTTAATTTTAAAAGTTATCGAAGTTGGATTATAATCTTAATAATGTCTTTAGAGAAAAAAATACTTTCTTCTATGTTTATTTCTTTTTTTAAAATACCTAAAAAAATCCAGTTGACAATGTGTGGTCAATATCTTTCAGAATACTCGTATATGCTGCAAAAGAGCAAATTGCTGCAGGCACACTAGATTTTCTTTTAAAAAATCCCAAATAAACTTTACAATATTTTTATGCCTTTACATGAAAACTCTCTATGTTAATTACTGTAGAGACAGTTTCTTTTGCAGATATCATAAAAACTATAATGAGTATAACGTTTATTACACACGAACACCATAAAGTTTAAAATTTTAGGATAAAATTGAGAACTTGGAAAATGTTATATAATTCAATAAAAATAAAAAATGTGATAAAACCAATATTAACGAATTAAACACCTATCGTTGTATGTTCATTTCAATTAAAAATAATAAGATGACTTAGAAAGTTACAGAAAGGAATTTTTAAATCAAACGACTTACGACCCATTTATTGGTAAAGATTGAAGGCATTGCTATTTTTAAAGGACTTTCATTTTGTCATAAAGTAAAAGACTGAGTATGAATAAGAAAACATGTATTTAACTTGTTTACAATTTCAACAAAAAGACAGTCAACAAAACCTACATAGCCTATATAGTTTTGGTTTGTTTAGGCGGGGAGATGGGGAGCCGATGGTTGGAAGCCCTTGTCGTTGGCGACGTAGTCTACTCTGTAAACCTTGCCATCATTATCAACGTAGCTGAAGAAACCACGTACTTCAAGACCCTCGTTCTCTGACCCAATGTTCTTCAGCTCAGCAACCTCGGAGGCAACCTTACCGTCACTGGTCTCGTAGCTAAAGAACCACAAAGAATGAGAATTAGTTCCTAAACATCAGTTTAACGCTTTAAAGAGTTCTTCTAAGTCAATACTTACGCGAAGTCGTAACCATTGACACCAATGTTGTTCAGGTCGAACCTGACAACCTTGGCATCTTTGTCTCGTGAAGCATCGTACACAGGGACTGCGACGACTGCAGCCACGAAGAGAGCGAATACAATGAACTGGAAATAATATATTACTCCTTAAGTTCACTGCTTAATTACAAATACAACATAAGTATCTTAGTAGCTGATCTCAACTGATAAAACTGCTAAAAATGTTCTATTCTATTGCAAAAACTTTAATTTGAACACTTACAGATTTCATTTTGTATTTTTTTTTGTTTTTTAGGTTTTGCGACAACAAAGATGCACCGGTGACTGTGATATCAACATAAATCTCACACGTTTATATAGCACCTAGTAAACCTTGTTTGCATATATTTGAATTAGTTTTTTTCACCTATAATTTTGATGCACACCAATTTAACACTAATGATCTAAATCTGACCTTTATAAATCATTTTTCTGAGCATTATTGTTTGATGCATGTCTCAATATGGCCTGACGTATTTTTAATTTACTTCTACTGTTATAAAATAATAAAAAATACATCTCCTTGAGTTTATTTTACATTTTAAACCAGACAAATTATTATATTTTTCATTGCATCAATTTTGTTATGGATTGAACAATAATTTCTACAATATTCGGGAAACTTTATGCTTATTATAACTTTGGGTCATCATTACATACGAAGCTTTTGCCGTTTCTATTTAAAAAGCCTATACTTTTAATGCGTTAAGATTAATAAAACAAAAAAAAATCAAATTTCGATATGTAGTGACACAACTTAGAATAGTAAATTCATACTTAAATTTAAAAAGAAAACAATCATTATTGTATTATAAGCTTCAATACGATGTTAATATTTTATACTATTTTTTACATTTTTGTATTTTAATTGTTTGTGTATTTCTTATTCATGTATGTTTTTCTTGAAAAAGGTGTGAATAATTATGGTAGATGTGTTAATATTTTGCATAAGCATGCCATGAATCAAACAGAAATTGAGATATTAATCAATAAATTACAGCCTTGTTCCTATAAACTGTTATGCTATAAATAAAGATAAAGCCAGCCTCCTACAAGTTTTTAAAAATCGTGAAATGTTTTTTTTTGTAAAACTATTATTTGTTTATAGTAGAAAGTAGAGAAAAAAAATATTTTCTCTAAACACCTGGAAGTCAAACTTCATTCAAATTGTTACATTTAAAATATTCACCATCTCCACACCTTTACTGTCTTTCTGAATAAAATAATTACTGAATATCACTATATTAAATTAGAATTTGGAAAATTCTATACAAAAAAAACTCTTAGTAAAAGTGAGAGCATGTAAATTGTAAATTATTTAATACTATATCAATCTGTCAATTCTGACCTTGACATTCACTTTCTTTTGGCCAATATTCTATTAATTGGCTCTTTATAACGATGGTCAACTGTGCTAGATTTGATGTACATTTAATATTTTATTATTAAAATGGATATAAAGAAATCAGATTACTGATATTAAATTCATACTATATTCTCTTTTTAAAGGTGTTTAACCTTAGAGGTTACTAAATATTTTAAATTATTGAAAGATGAATGTGGTGGTGGAATTTAGCGGGTTACTACGAGATGTGATATTTATTTTTATTGTTTTGCTTTCCTATAGTAGTAAGGACTATGACTGTTGTGACGTTTTGACGGATGATTTATTTCCTACATACATCCATTATGTAATCAGGCACATGCATTCGGATTTGCACCAGCAACCGGTGTATTTTTTCAAGGATGTTGATGAAACCGCACAATTCACGGATGTTAAAACTAAAAAGATTTTTTGTAACCCATATGCAAGTCCTATAAAAAGATGTTAGAGAAATCTTTTCTCGAACCCATTATCAACTAGACCACGACATTCAGTTTAAGCTACTGACTGTAGGGTTTTCTTGTTCCCAGTTAAAGTGATCAAAACGCATTTCTGACAATCTTTATTACATTCTCTGACCTACACCTGCTACCAGGATAGTTATTTACCAATCAATTGTCAGTAGTCAAGAACTATCCATTTTATATTTAAAAAATACCAATTTAAAACGATTGATGTGGTCTATATACTAATATAGTTAAAAAGAGGTAAAACATTAAAAAGATTTCATCGAAGACAATGTCTTTAGGCCTTCTATCGCTGGAAACACTATCTTGAACGATATTGGCATAAAATGTATAATACAAAAACTTTAGACATTAGACAGAATCATATCGAAGGCTTATATTGAAACCTAGTTTTTAATATATTAAAATTTATTGTCTTGACATTAAGAAATCCTTGAAGAACACAATAAATTATAAGATGTTTCAAATGATCTACAAAATCCTACACTTCGATCATTTAATGCCAAATGAATAGAATTTTATATCATTTTAATTGTTCTACGATGTAGAATTATATTTTTTTTACATACATATAAAATCATTTGGGTGGGTTATCATTGTTTCATTTAATTAACTGAAAATTCTCATTTAATGTATTACAAATTAACTTGAGTAAAATAACTAGAAAATAAAATGTTATTTAATGTTAATAAACTTCACTATATTTAAGTATTAAATGATAGTCTTAAAACAACAACAATAAAAATATTTCAGAAAAGGTAAAACTTTATAAAAGAGATCTAAAATTTTCGTGAGTATTCATTTAAATTTTTTTTTTTAATGACCATACTAAGGAAGTATGTTTTCAAACAACAATTATTATTGTTTACATAGTTGACACTCACTAACACAAAAAACGTAAAAACTATAAAATAATATTTAACTCTTAATATGTAGTGAACTGTTCGTGACATGTGTCCCATGATAATAGCAATAGTGTTAAAATAGCTAAAAATTCTTCAAATGATTTCTAGGAACATACATGACAGCATAACTCGAATTAATTTCACGCTTAAAATCCTGACACAATCATACCAGTCAAACTTAAAGTCCTATTTTATATTAAACATCATATCTTAAAGCAGTATTGAAAATTACAATTTGTCGCTGCACGTTCGATATTCGGTTCTATCAATTGATTATCTCAAGTTCATTACATACTTGAATAGAAATACCAAGATGTTTGACATTTAGTGACAATACCGCCATTGAGGAAACGTCATGCGTGTGTCAAGGTTATAGCTGTCTGTGTAATGCTTAATTTAAATACCACATTTCTAATATATTGTTATGTGAAAAATTGCTTTGTGTCCTAATTTTTTAAGTAAAACTTCTTTACAAACGCTTTAGGGTAAGCTGGTGAAAGCGTTACGAAAAGTGTGATAGACTGAGGCGAATGAGAGTGAGAGGGAGATATAAGTTAGTGAAGATAGATAGAGAGAGTGTTACGGTTTATGGATCATCAACATCTTCATCATCATCGTCGTCATCATCATCATAATGGATGGATGCACCCAGAGAAAGAATGGATGAAATATATAAAATTAATCATTATAAATTTATTTAACCTGTTATGTGTACATGTATTAGAGAATGAGATATTAGTAAATGTAGATACCATTAAAACTACCCTGCAAGACTTATGTAGATCAAAGGGCTGAGAAAAGCTTCGTATATTACTGTACGCGCACATTTTCTTTCTCGCATCCTCTCATAGCCAGTGCATGAAATATATATATAAATATACATGTCTGTATTATACATATATGTATAAACATGTGCATATAAATATTACATATAGATTGAGCGAAAGAGGTTTTACTTCAGTCGTGTGCTATAAAGGACACTGGTTAAAATTTTTATATAAGGCTTGACTTTGTCAAATTCTACATTCACCCGAACAAAAAAGTTTTCACTTCATTTACCATTATTATTCTTGTACGTTTTTTATTTTCGTTTTCTAAGCATTAAATATATATTTAGATCATTATTGTTTAAAAGAAAATAAATATTACTGAACTTTTAACAATAAAACCAAGATCTCCCTGTATAACGCTCTTGTACGAAGTCTTCTTGAATATGCGTCCCAAGTATGGAACCCCACATATACAGTCCAATCACAGAGGATAGAAAACTTACAACGTGCATTTACCGGATCTCTTGCTTTTAATTGTAGTGGAATATCTCATAGAACACCTTATGACACGCGTTTAAATTTTTTTTAAATGGAAACCTTATCTAAACGTCGGCAAACGCACGATTTAATTTTCCTATATAAAATTATTAACGGGGTAGTTAAGAGTGAGCAACTTCTGTCGTACATTGACATCTCAGTACCCAGGAGACCCCCCAGAAAGCCTATTTATCAAATATTCTACACAGCGGCCTCTCGCACCAACATTGGCAAACACTGTCCCATAAATAGACTTTGTTCCAAGTACAACAAAATATGCTCTAAGATCCCGCATTTGGACGTGTTTGCTGATGCCATGCCCAAATTTAAAAATAAAATCCATCAAATAACATCATAGTTTGTAATCACACTTTGTCACATGTTTTTATTTTAATGATTTATATATATATATATATATATATATATATATATATATATATATATATATATATATATATTTTCTTGTAGTTTTGTATATTGTTATTTTATTATAAGGTAGACAATAAGTTTTATTTTTTTTTTCTTTTTGTGAATGTTGTGTACGTCTGTAATTGTCACTCTTATCAGGTCCTAGATTTATCAATTTTATCTATTTGTTTATGTGTGTTGAATAACTGTGACGTTGATGTACCTTTAAATAAATAAATAAACTGTAAGAAATACTGTAGTTAAAAAAGTCGTACATTCAAAGTAATAGCTCACTAAATCCCTACTAATATTACATATAAATGCAAAAGTAACTCTGTCTGTCTGTTACGCTTTTATGCCTAAATCTTTTGAAAAGTTCTCTTGGAAACACGATATAACCGAACTCGACGCGGGCGAAGCCGCGGGCGGAAAGCTAGTATCACATATTTTATGTACTCCTAAGTCACCTTTCCTCTTTGTCTTTACGAGATGGCATTATATACATAGAATTAATACACTCTGTATTAATAATTATAATAAGGTTGCCTTCTCCTTTCATATGTTAAAGTAAAGTAAATGTACAATTATAAAAGGATCTTGATTATAACCTGTACGTAACATATTATGAGGTATGTCTCAAAAGGTAATATTAAAAGAAAATGTTCAGTTGTTACTTATACAGTTTAATATAAGCGAAAGAACTTTTCTTATAAAATCATCAACTACTAAGTATACACATAGTGTAGAACTTTGTGACCATATTTTTTTAAATATAAACTTAATTTTCTTCACTATTTAGAATATGAATAAACCTTTTAAATCTAGCTTCATTGTTGTGTGTGTCGATCGGTACGCCGCCTCGCGTTACCTAACACTTACACAACAAGGTTAAGGGCGAGAGGTTAGTGAAGAAAAGGTCGAATATCGATCTGCAGACATTCTAAAGACGTCGATTGTTGGGTGATTAATATTAACAACGTCTGAGCATTTGTTACGTATACGAGTATGTTTGTGACGTTATTCCGACTAGCATGACGATTCACGCGGCTTTGCTTACTTTAAGAACATATTTATCTGTTTCTCTATTCTATAGACTTTATCCCCGGAGCCATTAGTTAAACTAATTCAACCACGACGCGTTTACATTTCTTTTTTTTTATACGTACTAATAGTTTATTGAGTACATTTGTACTTCAGAACATTCTTACATCATTTTGCCTGTTATATTAACCTCATTATCCATTTTTTTTTTTCGATCAAAATAATAAGTTTCCAAAAATTTTTGCTTACGGTAACAATGATAAAATATAAATGCATTCAAAATATGATATTACCCAATTCTCAAAGCACTATGTATGGTTATTTAAGTGTTCCTGGGTTCATTACTTACGTTTTTTAAATTAACATCCATAAGAAAATACATATATAATGATAGATAAATTTATTAGAATATCATTAACAATTACATACATGTCGTCTGCCCTTGATCATGGTTGCTGCAAAGTAACCGAAACGTCAGAAGTATGTATTTTTTACCATAATAATATACACATAGTAATCCAAAAAATTTAAGTTTCATTTAAATGAATACTTGCGAAAGATCTAGATCTAATTATCAAAATTATACAGTTTTGTTCAATTATTGATAAGTTTTGACTTAAAATGAATCAAATATTTATTTGCAGACAATTTACATATTGAATCATCAAATATACATACAGATCCATATACATTTTTTGTTATAGTGTACGTGCTGGCATATTGTATGTATATATTACGTCACTGTAGTTAAGACCGCTGCATAAGCAACTTACAGAATTGAGGATTCCTCGGATGACATTTAATTCATAATGATATTGTGATGGGATTGGCTGAGAAGGTCACTCATTTACATACCGGTCTAACTGAGCAAAAATAAGTGGAAAAATAACGTATTCATATGCAGTTTTATCAAATTATCATATTATTTTGTTCATTACATTCTAATTCAAAAAACCTTCCTCCTAATTTTGAAGAAACAGTTGCAAATAGATAATTAAAGTATTTTTTATGATTCATACATCCACCAATATTCTGAATGTCATTAATTTATATTTTGAGAGCTTGATTGAGGTTAAATGTAATAAAAATCATATGTTAATTATTTTAATGTAATGTTTATTAACAAATATACAAAGTCGGAACGGTATCACAGATCGCTTAAATGATCTTTAACAAGAGTAAGAGGATTAGGGGGTGAGTATTTTTGGACTAGAGATTTTATAAGGCGTTAGTGATTTAAGCGTTCTGGGGAAGATGTTTGCCGGAGGGACGGAAACCGTTCTTGTCGGCGACGTATTCCACCAGGTAGGAGACACCGTCGGGAGCGACGTATGAGAATGAACCACGGACTGCGATACCCTCGTCCTCAGAACCAACATCAGCCAGCTGGGCGTCCTCCTCAGCGGCGATGCCGTTGGAGGTCCTCACTCTGAAATAACGAGATAATACGAGATAATAAGACTGTTAAAATAAGATTTAACACGAATAAAAAGGCAGCTGATTTAGTCAGTGGTGGCCTAGTAGTTAAAATGGCCCGCCTCTCATGCACGAGAGCGCGGGTTCAATCCTGGCCCGGGCAAGTACCAATGTGATTTTTCTGAATCATATGTACTTTCTAAGAATATTTAGACATCACTGATTAATGCTGGTTCCCAAAAGAGGATTGATGTCAGGCAGGCGGCCGTTTGTAAAAACAAATAGCCAAAACTATACATAACATGTAAGGCAGACCCTGGCTATAGCTGGTAAATTGCCAGGTGGAGGAAGAAAAATGCAGCTGATTAATGATAGTATTCCATGTAATTCTTACCTGTAGTGGTAGCCTCCAATTCCGATGTTGTCGTTTTCATATTCAACGACCTCTGCGGCTGCATCAGGACTGAGAGGTGCGGCGGGAGCAGCGACTGCTGCGGCCACGAAGAGAGCGAGAACGATGAACTGGAAGAATATTCATTATTAACACCTCAGAACACATTAACCGACAATCCGATAATTAATCTTTGAGCATCAACGTACCGATTTCATGTTGAAAGGTTGTTGTGGGTTATTGGAATGCAGTCCAACGAATGATAGTCCTCAGTTGAAGATGCTGCTATTTATAGTGAGCCAGGTCGCACAGCAAGGACGTATTGTGACATTTGAACTTAGATGCATCTCCAGTCAGTGATATGCTTTAGCATAGAATATAATATGTCCTGCTCGGTCTTTAGGATTCCGTTAACAAATACAAACTATCCATAGATTGATACTACACAATATTTTCTTATAATTTTAGTGTCCTTTCAACCCTTATTAAATACGTGATTCATATTTTTTTAAAATTTTACATGAACAGATACTTTAGATAAGTTTTTAGATTTTTTATGAATTATAATACGTATGCTAAAATAGTTCATAAAAACAATACAACTCCCGCAATGGCCTCAAAACGAAGCAATATTTATTATTTGAAGAATTTACACAACCATATTTTTTTAAGAAATGTGCTCAAGAAAGTAGTTTAATATAAACAGAAATATTCTCAATGTTTAATTATAATATAATTTACGTAATAAGTTGTTACATAAATATTTTTTGATAAAACATTCTAATATAACATAACAAATAATAAATAAAACGAAATATTATAAATTTACATTTAATCGAATATTAAAATACAGAAATAAACTTTTATATAAATGTGTAATGTATATATATCTTCTTCTTCTACCTGGCAATTTCTCAGCTTTTAGCCAGGACCTGCCTTATACGTTGCGAATAGTTTTTGGCTAATTGCTTTTACGAAATATGTATATATATAATATTAAAAACTATATGTTTTTGAACCACATCTAATATTAAATATTTCGAACAAGGATTCTGTAAGGTCGCTGCCTCTAATATTATATAATTCAGACTTTCCCAGATCGTGTGTTCATAATTATGAAATAAATATTATTTAATATATTGTCGGTAATTATATATTCCGAGTTTGATATTATTTAAGATGAGTGTAATTTTTAAATAGATTATTGTGTAACAGAGGTTATATATAAAGATATGGGTGGAGTGAAAAGCACTTCATAAAGTTGTCTGGCAGTTACAAAACGTTTTGTGTGTCACTTGGAGCTTTTGACCTTATTTATATATATAGAAATATATATATATGTCTATATTTATTTCTTATTATAGTTTTATTGTATGTTTTAAACAATTCCTATAAAACTAATAATGAAATTACCATGTGATTTTAACAGTATATTTTTATCATTATTTACAAGATTATAAAAAAATACCCTTAACTTATACTAAGGAATTAAAGTTAAATTTTTATTTTAAATATATCAGCGTTTCAATGAAGGCTTTTATTACACAAATATAAGGCGTCAATGTGATGTTTGACACAGTTTTTTCATAAACTTATGTGACAAGCGCCTTTTGACTGCAGGAACCGGATTGGAAGCGAGGGCTTTTAAGATTGAATAACCTTTATCACTAGTTACTCCAAGTCAGTCAACTGTATAAAATTATTTGATCCTCTCTAATAAAATAATTTAATATTAATTGCTCTCATATAAAGTTATGCGAATATAAGCTATATACCTTTTTTCTTTTATCCCCAAAGAGGGTTGATGTCAGGCAGGCGGCCGGTCGTAAAAACAATTAGCCAAAACCATTCACAACATGTAAGGCAGACCCTGGCTAAAGCTGCAAAATTGCCAGGTAGAAGAAGGACTATATACCTTTTATATAAAATCTCTTTAATTAAAGCATAAAATATTGTTGAAAAGAGGTTTCAATCCTATATGTCATCAAGAATTATATATGGCTAGACAAAAATTAACAATTCAATGTATATTTTTAGTGCTACGTATAGTCTGATTCTAGATTTTTAAACAGGTTTCAAACATTATCGGCCTTGCAGGTTTTCGTATTCCTATATAAGTCTACATATTATTATTTTTTAAATGTCATGTCAATCTAATATTCAATCATACTAATAGGTTATATTTAGTTCGATTGACAAAAATCTTTATTTTATTTTGTTTCAAATTACTTATACGAATATAGGTTCAAATGATTTTAAATCTTATTTCTTTTGATTAAGGTTTGTTTACCTTTAAATTATTTAAGGATTGTAATTTAACTTATAAAGATTACATATTTTCATACATAACATCGACAGTACTAAATAAAGAATCCACAGCTCATTAAAATTAAACATTTTTCAAACAATTGGTTGCCAAATAGAAATATAACTGATTTTTTCTATGATTTGTCGTAAATATTATAAAGAAATTATTCATAATTATTTGATTTTATTGTTTTCGTCAATAGCTTCAATTAATTCTCCTAACATCTCTAAAACTGTCCTGCCTAAATATTAGTATATGTAAAACAAAAAGATACTTTAAATTATCTTGTACAATATATTACAATAATACTTATGATATATTTATTATAGATAAATAAAGATATAAAAGATGTAGCGCCACTGATGAACCGGCCAACCTTGTGATACTTGAAACAGTACATACATGAATTAATATAATTATAAAGTAATTCTTTCTATACACCTTCAATATATTTGTAATAAATGTATACATTTGTAATAAATGTATACGTATATATATGCTAATTATTATCTAGTTTTGATTTCCTTAAAAGACTCTCGGAAAGGTAAGGTAAGCGAATTTTGATTGATTTAATAACTTTATGCGAAATATAATTTTATAATATATAATCTTTTTTAGTACATTATAACATAAATTACACGATTACATACATGAAGAAATTACTATTAAAATATATTTGAAATACCCTTTCGTTTATTAAACAAATTTTAAGCTAAAAAATATTTTATATTTACTTATATATACAATTTATAGCTAATAATTATCTATCATTCGAGTAATAGACAAAAATCTGTTGCTTTTATTCTATCAAAATTATTAAAAAAGCACAATAATTATTATTTCTACTAACATTGACGTGACAGAGGTGACATTTCAAAACTCGATGCACCCACGCCGGTATTGTGATCAAAGATGGCGCGATTTCTACATTTATTAATCATCGTTAACAAATATTTTATGACTGTCATTAAAAAATTTACGTCTTGGATAAAAAAATTAAAATAATCTAATCGTTCAGCCTATTCTAATAAAATTTTTTTTAGAAACGCTGAATTAAAATTATATATATTTATGTCGATATTCATAAAAAAGTATTACGATAAACTTTAATGTGAGCTTCGACCTTGGAATCGTATGTCTAAAACCAATCCGTTTGTCTTCAATGCAAAAAAAAAACATCAACAAATTCTTCCGTAAATGTACAAACAAGATAACCGTTACACAAATATAATGAACGGCCTTAAACTATACAGACGCGAAACATCTCGGCATCTAAATTATGCTCATTTGTACACATTCTTTATACATTTTAGTTTTGAATAGTGAATCACAATCAGTGAACACATGCGACTTGCAATGGCGCCATTAGAGTTACATTGTGCCAATGTACACTTATGTACAAATGTACAGATTATAAAACCTTTTTAAAATTAACTTACTTAAATTTATATGTTTATGTTTAATGTAAAACTTTTGTTATATTTCTAGACGTATATACCATCGACCATAGCCAGTTTTTATTTTATTCGCTTGTATGAACAATAAAGATATTTTATTAAGTGACGTCATTCTAATTCCAATGTGTGGACTGGTTAATTTTATGCACTTCCGTGCTAATAAACATCAGCTATAAATCTTCTGAGGATAGTGAAAATAAAAGTGTTTATGTCAATTCTTTTTTTGGTATAAATATCATTTTATTAATTCTAACATAAAATCGATGTTGATTTGTGTATAATAATTTGTCTTACCCTACTAACATATAAAATAAAAAGGAGATTTTAATATAGAACAAAAATATATAATCTTTTCTATGGCAACAAATTTAGTTTTTAATACAGAATGGGTCTGACGAATATATGAAGAAATATTTTTAAAATTGTACTTTCTTAATCGACCTTTATTTTATTTTATAGTCTTTATTTGATTCAATAATATATAACCTTCTTTGAAACACTAAAAACCAAGGCAACGTGCTGCTAAACGTTTTGCTAGAACATAATACATTTGGATCTTATAATTTTTTAATGGAAAAACGTGAATGGAATTCGGTTTAGACAAAAAAAAACTTTGTTCTTTTAAGAACCTGTTAACTATTCAAAATATAAATCGAACTGTTTTATGTTTAAATTTGTACAATATACAACTAAATATTAATAAAAAAATAACAGGTAAAACTTTTCAAGACAACCCAACTAGATTTTCAACTTGAAATGGTCTAAATTCTAATCTTTTGAACCTACATATATTGACAAGTCGGGTGTAGAGTTATTACGAGTACATTTCCATACATTTTGTTATTACAATATATGAAATGCAGAGCCGTCTAATATTAAAGAGCGTTACTAAATCAATGGATCCGTCTTCACATGTGAAAGCCTGACATTTGTCGGTGTGAGTAAATGCCACGGATTTCAACAGTCGTGTTGTAAAACTATCCACCTGTACTGCGAACCTTCTTCTACTATATTTATAATAATAATCATAATATTACCATATGTTGTATATAAAATTCGCATGTTAGACAGAGAACTCCTCCAAAACGGCTGGACCGATTTTGATGAGATTTTGTGAGCATATTCAGTATTTTTTATATCCCTAAGTCATAAGGGTTGTTCACCCTTAATTACTTTTTTTATTTTCGGACGATTTTTTATTTTTATAATTTATAATGTAGCATTAAAAATACATAAATACAACTCAAATTTTTTACCTTTTTATCACCGACCCCTATTTTTTATATGGCAAAACAACGTTTGCCGGGTCAGCTAGTATGTACATATATTAATAATGCATTAAATATTTTTTTTCTAAATGACCTTTCAATATCTAATTGTCATTGGTTCAGCGTAATTAGTTTGTCCCATTATAAGATATGCGTTGACATTTAAATGAAATCGTTTCTTAATA